ACAGGAATAAATTACATATTAAAATATATTAAAATAGAAAACAGTCATTTTAAATGGTAATAATATTTCACAATATTACTGTTTTTATTGTATTTTTTAACAAATAAATGCAGTCTTGATGAGCGTAAGAGACCTTTTTCAAAAAAAAAAAAATCTTACTGACCCCAAACATTTGAATGGTAGCATATCTGTCTATCTACCTGCAATATCTCAGCATCTCATTAATCCAGCTATTCCTATTTTTACACTGTATTAATTTTGTTAAAGTGAGAATGACCATAACTGAACAAACAATAAAAGATACAAACAGGGAAAGACCATGTTAAAACGCAAGAGAACAAATAGTTTTCACGGGGACCGAGACAAAGCCATGAAAGGCCTGTTCAAGTATTATAGAAGTAGAAGAAATAGCACAGAAACATCCACAAAAGGACAACGACACAACCAGTAAGTCAAACACCCAGTGGGCTCTCACTACAGTCACCTGATTGGATTTGATAAGTATTACTGCTTACATCACCTTCTAGCACCTACAAGAGCCTTTGTAATGAGCTTGTATCAGCTCCGCGCTAGTTCCAGTTGATATCGCATCCACTGAGGAAGACATTTCCCATTAAAGTTAACTCAGGTAGTCCTGTCGGTCCCGTTTCATAGAAATATCATGTATTGGTCCATCACTATGGTAAAAAAAAAATGAGTCTGCTTGTTAAAACGTTAGAGCATGCAAACATTTCTTTCATAGATGACAGTTTCCATTCTTTTTTTCCCACTGAAACTGGAATCATCACAGAGATTTCCACATTTCAGGTTAAAGACAACAACAAAAACACTCAACAGAGTCTCTGAAATCTCAACAGATTTCAACAGAGGCAACATTTCACAATCATAAAAAGCAGACCAGTACACAAAGTGCATCTCAAACATTTGAACACATTTTTTTTATTTTTTATAAACTTTATCAGTTTCATCTTGACAGTCTTTGTGAGATTCACACTTTAATTTTAATTATAATTCTTTAAAATTATTTAGTATTGTATTTTATTTACAGTGCATTACCGTTCAAAAGGTTGGGGTCGGTAAGTTTTTTTTTTGTTTGTTTTTTTTTTTGAAAGATGTCTTTTATGCTCACCAAGGCTGCATTTGTTCGTTTAAAAATACAGTAAAAACAATTATAGTGAAATATTATTACAAGTTAAAATTATTTTTTTATGTTTTTAGTTTCCAGTGATGGCAAAGCTGTATTTTTATCAGCCATTACTCCAGTCTTTAGTGTCATATTAGCCTTCAAAAATCAATCTAATATGCTGATTTGCTGCTAATATTTTGCTGCTTAATATTTTGTTGGAAACCGTGACACATTAAATGTAAAAACAATTTTGGGATATACGGTATATAAAGTTCAACAGAACACAGTTTATTTGAAATAAAAATGATTAGTAACAACGCAAAAGTCTTTACTGTCATTGTTGATCATTTTACTGCATCCATGCTGAATAAAAGTATTAATTTCTTTTAAAAAAACGTACTGACCCCAAACTTTTGAACGATAATGTATTTCTAAAGAACTAGAAGGAATGATTTTGTGCTTAGAACATAATAGTTCCACTCACCTTGCTGGACCATTTCCGGGCCTCGTCGTGTAGCTGCCTGGCCGCCACCATCATCGGCTCGCTCACCATCTCGCCAGCTTTCTGCTCAGGGAACTCCTCGTCTTTCTCCTCTGGGGGTGGAGGTCTCGGGGGAGGTACCTCTCCCTCTGGCAGGGGCGGTTTGGGAGGAGCCTGATCATCACTGACCTGACAGAATCATATGGGTGAGTAAATGATGACAGAATTGTCCCTTTAAGACCTGAATTGAAGCTTTAATGATGTAGAGCTGCAGCACTTACATGCAGCTGATCAAGGTCTGGAGGTGGAGGTGGAAAGTCAGGCTCCTGAGGCTGGAAGGCTTCTCTGACTTTCCCAACAGCAGCCAAGATCCTGTAGCCAGAGTCCAGGAAGCTCTTTTGAGAACCTGATCATTAGGAGAAAAAGATTTCTGTCAGTAACAGGAAGAAATAGTTTTCTATAAATGTATCCAGAACATTTACAAAAAAAGACCTGGATCCTGGATGTTTCCTGCCACGGCTTTAGCAGCCATAACCATGGGTGAGATTGTTCTACCAAGTTCATCTG